AAGATACAATAATTTGTGTTTCGGCCAAGAGGTCAACAGAGGTAAAATAAAAGAGAATATAAGCCTTAAAAGTGTTAAAAATTGCTGTTTTGGGACGTTTGTAAAAGCGAAAATATATGTCGGACATCAAAGATAAAAGTATGAATGGACATCGTAGATCAATAACCTTTGACCTTCTAAAGACCAAGATTATGCATGTAAATGGTCAAAATATCAAAATTTTATAAATTGTAAATCCTATTCCCTTTTTTAAAGTAAAAGGCCTAAACAAAATGTAACTCTATCAGATATTGTCCCAAATAGTGCTTTAATTTTTTGTAAAATTTTGATGGTGAAAAATGCAAACTTTTCGAGTTATAACAATTTGAATTATTTATGGTAAAGGTAAAAGTAACCCGGATTTGCCACGCCCACTGCAAAAATTTTGTGTTGTCTGTAATAATGTGTACAATGTCAAATAATGTTCAAAATTTCAAGTGTTTACAATCATTAGATCATGAGATATTCGTAGTTAAAAGTTTTTTTTAAGGCCACGGTGACTGTCGGTGGATTATAGAAACCGTTCAAATTACGCAAAGTTACTATAGAAGTCAATACAAAATTTTCAAATTCAATTTTAATCAAAATACCAAGTGTTATATATCATTTGAAAGAATAGATTGCGTGTAATAAGGACAAAAGATAAATTTTCGCTTATGTAAATTAGGTCACGTGATAGACCTTTTTTTTAAGTTAAAAATCACGATTTTCAATTGGCTGTAGAACCGGAAGTTAACGGAGCACGACAAAAGTGAAAATATTATCGGATATATCTCGTAATGGGCAACAACCTTTGTTCAGGTCAAAAGGTAAACAAAGGTTAAATAAAAGTAATATGAGCCTATGGAGTTTCGAAAATTGCTGTTTTCGGACGTCTGTAAAACCGGAAGTATATGTTGCACATCAAAAATCAAAGTAAGAATGGTCATCTTAGATCAATGACCTTTGACCATGCAAAGGTCAAGGTCATTTACGTTAAAGTTCAAAAATGAAAATTTTTAAAATTGTTAAACCTGTTCCCTTTTTTAAAGTAAAGAACGCAAACAACTGTAATCTTATCACAAATTGTCGTAAGCTGCGATCTACTTTCATTCAAAATTTCTAGGATGACAATTATAAAATTTGCGAGTTATGACAATTGCAAATATTTCAGGTAAAGGTAAATGCCCACCAGATGTGCCACGCAAAATTTCTAGGGTGACAATTGAAAACTATGAGAGTTATAACAATTGCAAATATTTCAGGTAAAGGCAAATGGACACCGGATGTGCCACGCCCACTTCAAAAATTTTAATTTGTCTGTGATGATGTGTACATTGTTAAATAATGTTCAAAATTTCAAGTCTTTACAATCATTAGATCATGAGATATTTGTAGTTAAACTTTTTTTAGGGCAACGGTAAATTATAGACACCGTGATTTTACGCACAGTTACTATAGAAGTCAGTACCAAATTTTCGATTTTTAAAACGCGCAATTTTGATCAAAATATCAAGTGTGATATATCACCAAAAAGGAGATTTTATGCACTCAAAGAATATATAAGAATTTTTGTCATATGTTAATTAGGTCACGTGACAGAGCTCTTCAAAGTTAAAAATCGTGATTTTCCAATGGCTGTAGAACCGGAAGTTAACGATGCACAACAAAAGTGAGGATATCAACGGATATATCTCGTAAGGGGTAACAACTTTTGTTCAGGTCACAAGGTCACCAAAGGTCAAAGTCACTAGATATGAGCCTTAATATTTTTGACAATTACTGAAAACATAAAACCGGAAATAAAAAAAATACGAATCCAAAATTCAAAAATCGGCTTCCTAAGTTTTGTTAGCAATCAATTGCAGATTCTTTAGACACCAAAATCACACAAATCAGATTTACCCCTGAAGCTTAATATCGATTTTTACAAAAATTGGTCACATCAAGATGGCGTCTAACACGTTACTTCCGGTACAAATTTTTTCATTCCAAAATTGTTATAGGGACAATTTTAACTAATTTCAAAAAGAATTTTTCAAATACCTACAAAATTCCGGAAGTTGAAATTTCAAGTTTAGAGGTGAATGACGTCAAAACCGGAAGTGATATCGAAATTTTGAAAATAGATTTTTGTCAGGAATCAAAATGCTTATCTACTATTAAATTTTTAGACCGATTGAAATAAAATTGTAGAAGTTGAAAAAAACGCTAAAATTAAAACAAAAAAAGTCAGCGACAAAAGTCAAAATCTGAAATTTTATAAAGCGCTATCTTTTAGTGATTGGTTTAAAGTAATGAACAAAACAAAAGTTATGGTCAAAATAGATGCAGAATTAGAGCAGTAATTCGAAATACGTAAAGAATGGTTAACGTCATACGTCATTTCCGGTTGGAAGAAAATGCGTCATTTTACATTTAAACAGTAGCGACACGCAAAGTATAAGAAATAATAGTGTCAGACAATGTCTGACATGTGCAGTTTTGGCTGGGGAGCGTGACCAGAAGTAGACAAAAAAAAAAAAAAAAAAAAAAAAAAAAAAAAATAGTCATTTGCAAAACAATGCAGTGCGTTCAAAGAACGCACTGCAATTATTTTGATTTTTCTATGTCAAGGGTAATAACTCAAAACAGTCAAATTTGATTTAAATCAGATGAAAACTGTAACCTCATCGTGTCCACAAGAAATGATGATGGGCCGTCCATATTTCCGTGTGGGTGTATAAAAAAGAGGCCCCGTAGTAAGTAAGCTTAACAATAATATGAAAAACATTACCTACCCTTGAATTTTTGTCTTCTCTATATTCTGTATATAACAAAATAGAGACCAGAGGTAGCCAACAAACCACAAAAATAGCCAATATTAATACAAGCATAACAATAACCTGAAATATCAACGCAAACAGCTAATATTAACACTAGTATAACAATCACTTGGAATAATAATGCAAACATCTAATATTAATACTAGTATAATAATAACCTGAACAATTAATACAAACAACTAATATTAACATTAGCATCATAATCTCCTGAAATATTAATTCAAACAGCTAATATTATTATTAGCAACATAATCACCTGAAATATTAATTCAAACAGCTAATAATAACATTAGTATCATAATCACCTGAAATATTAATACAAACAGCTAATATTATTAATAGCATCATAATCACCTGAAATAATAATTCAAACAGCTAATATTAACACTAGCATCATAATCACCTGAAATATTAATGCAAACAGCTAATATTATTATTAGCATCACAATCACCTGAAATGTTACTACAAACAGCTAATATTAACACTAGAATCACGATCACCTGAAATATTAATACTAGTATAATAATAACCTGAAATATTAATACAAACAGCTAATTTTAATATTAGTATCATAATCACCTGAAATATTAATTCAAACAGCTAATATTGTTATTAGCATCATAATTACCTGAAATATTAATACAAACAGCTATTAATTCTAGCATAACAAGCACTTGGCATATTAAAACACACAGCTAATATCAATACTAGCATAATAATCATCTGAAATTTTAATACAAACAATTAATATAAACATTAGCTTCACAATCACCTGAAATGTTTAACAAACAGCTAATATTAACATTAGCATCATAATCAACTGAAATATTAATACCAGCAGCAAATATCAACAAGCAGAACAAGCACCTGACATATTAATACAAAACAGCTAATATTGATACTAGCATAATAATCACCTTTAATATTAACATTAGCATCAAAATTACCTATAATATAAATACTAAAACTTTATTAACATAATCACCTGAAATATTGATAAATATTGCTAATATTAACAAGCATAACAAGCACCTGGCACATTAATACAAACAGCAAGTCCATAAACCATGGTCACTAATATAAACACGAGTATGATCGTTACTTGTGTTATTTCTGTGTGTATAGTAATTAGCGCGACTCAACTAAACTCGAAATTTCGTGAAAGAGTACACACGGATAAAAATATATTCATTTTTTAAAAGTATCTAGGGGCTATCAGACTTAGTCAGGGTTTTATTTATAAGTATATTATAAGAGACAAAACGTTTTCAGTGAATGTAAACAGGCTCCACAATGATGGTCATTTAGTTGGAAAAGTCAATTAGCCTCTCGATGAATAACTTTGCTTTTCTTTCTAACTCTTTCAGCTTGTGTCAAGACCTTCTGAAGAATAAATGGATCTGAGCTAATTTGATGTTGAGTTGACTAAAGAAACTCGACCACTTTGGAACAAAGATCTATTTATCTTACTGATTATATACCACTCTCATACCTCTCCAACTCAACAAATAATCTTATTGATATTTTCAGACCTTTGAGAGTTTGTATGAAAGAACTTCCATCTCCATTATCATCGACTGTCTCAATCCAATCAGCTGACAGCTAATAGTCTTTCAATGACAATTGGTCACAAATACATCATAAGAAGAGGGTTAATGCTAAACATATGACTTTGAACATCCTTAATGGTCTTAATGCCTTGGATTTGAATATAGTCGAATATCATATTACATAGCATGAAAGAGTATTACGATAAGAAGATGGAAACACCGGCCTTGGTCACTTGCTTACCTAGCGGTCAAATGGGATTTGTTAAATTTATTATACAGTATAATGAAACTATCTCCCGAACCCATATGATGGCTTAAATCAAATGGACTATAGTCCAGAACGTTTAGGCGAACATACCACCATCACCTCCACCCACCACACACCCTATCACAACTACCAACACACTCCACATCATCATATCAACACACCCATTCCCACTAGTAAATATCACACTCTCCATTCCTACTACCATCACACTCCCCAGTCATACTACCATCACACTCCCAATTCCTACTATCATCAAACTTCCCATCACCACCCTACTAGCACACTCCCCAGTCATACTACCATCACACTCCCAATTCCTACTATCATCACACTTCCCATCACCACCCTACTAGCACACTCCCCACTCAATCTACCATCACACTCCCAATTCCTACTATCATCACACTCCCCAGTCATACTACCATCACACTCCCAATTCCTACTATCATCAAACTTCCCATCACCACCCTACTAGCACACTCCCCAGTCATACTACCATCACACTCACCATCCCTACTATCATCACACTCACCATCTCCATTCTACTCCATCATCACCATACCTTCACACTACCAATACCTACTACCAACACACTTACACACCCACTACACTACCCATACCTACTACCAATACACTGCCATCACCAGGACTAACACACCACCATCACCTCTAACCATCACATTCTACATCCTTACTACCAATTAACAGTTCAACACCATCTCCACTACCAACGCTATCCCGATTCGACTACCAACACACCATCTTTACAATGTCAAGTTACTATAACTGTGCCTTATATCTTAACTACAATAGTCACAGTAGTAAGTACCAGATTGTAACAGTTAAGCCAATAAAAGAATTATCTAACAGCTATCTTTCAACTAAGTTATTTTAACTAACCATCACACTCTCCATTTTTACTACCATCACACTCTCCATTTTTACTACCATCACACTCTGCATCCCTACTATACCATCACACTCTCCATTTTTACTACCATCACACTCTGCATCCCTACTATACCATCACACTCTCCATTTTTACTAACCATCACACTCTCCATTTTTACTACCATCACACTCTGCATCCCTACTACCATCACACTCTCCATTCCTACTACCATCACACTCTCCATACCTACTACCACCAAATACCCTATTCCAAATATCACCACACTCATAATTCTTACTACCACCACACGCCCCATCTTCACCCTACTACCACCAGAGTCCCTATTCCAAAGCTTATTTCAAGACAAAAAAAATGAAATGTTCAATATCTCAAACGAATATTAGCACACCGAGAAATCAAATGAATGGACAAACGCTGTGACAAAAACAAAGAGCAAAGAAACATTGAATTGTCAAACGAGAGACGCGAGAATTTCGTTTTATTACTAGCCTATCGACAACTGAGATTATAAATCCTTTTTAAAAAAAGGCTATGAAGCCGTTTGTGTTTTGGGGATTGCGTGAATGTCAATCAGAATCATCATTGTGTCAATACAGTTTGATTTATCTAAAATAGTCCAGATATTTCGATTTTGAAAACCACGTTATATTGTTTTTTGGAACATAAACAATCTACTTAAAGTAAATATTTTTTCCTTGAGAAGACATATTTTTCAACACAAACAGTTCCATTTATAAATTATAATCGGAATTTAACAGATGGCAATATTGACGCATGGTTCAATTTGCCTGTATACCAATGTTTGGTGACTTTTTTTTATCCTTGAACTGAATAGATATCATTAATTAAATTTGATTTTTGGAACTGATTAGCTTAAAATGTTGACATGTACTTCAAATATACAATTATGCAATGCAGTTTTCCCATTTAAAGATGAAAGTTTGCGAAGATGGAACAATAAACCAAAGTATCTTTTCAACAGGCTAAGAACAATTGAGGTTCTTGTCAACTGGAAATTAAAAGCGATTTGAAGTAGGTTGTGCAAATCACGTATAGGAGAAGATTCGTATGTATACTGACTGGTGTGTGATAATGTAAGAAGGTTTCTTTCAGATCCAGCCATTGGTCGAAGTTAATGTCTTATAACCATAAAACATTTATAGAATAATAAACTACATCACGTCAACTGGTGTGATAAAGACCTGTTTCCCTTAATTGATAGCCTATGTCCTAATCACCAGTTTAAAATCAACCAGTCCAATCAATGACTGACTAACCACAATTAACCTCAACAAGTACAAACGACTAATTCAATCGTCCGTTTCTTCCTTAAAGCTATCCTCTCACTACCTTCACGGTACCTTTAATCCCATTCTCATAATGCCAAGCTATTCGAATTCCGTAATAGCTTGACATCGTGAAAATGCTGAAATCTATGAACGCATGGAAATGAAATGAAATGAAATGCATTAAGGAGCATCAGCACCAAACGGGCTATATAGCTCCAGCATTAACGCATGGAGTAAATACAGATTCAAGAGAGGTTTCGGTATTTTTGTTTGTATATTGAAGATACAAATTATGTCTATTTGTACCACTTAACCGAAATCTGTGTATCCTGTGATTCTGGATAACATGGTCAGATGTTGACGTCTCTATGGCAAATATACCATTCAAGCCGATTCATGTATTTCAAATTCGAATTATAGTCTCTTTATCACTTTATTACGCAGGGGTATAATTTTACTGTAAAGACATAATTATTGACCATTTACATGTAGAGAATTTTTTACCAGCGTTTTTGATTAACAAGCATTTTTAAATTTAACACAAAAACTTCCAATCACTTCATGTATTTTATTTATGAGACTATTAAGACACGAAATGGCTTTTCTGATTAAAAATTAATATCGTTCGTGCTTCTTTTAAGGTCATTCTCAGATTTGCATGGTCAATCACACTCTGTAAGACAATTATTTGTCGTAACCTACAAAAGGTGTTATCATTTGACGTTTGAAGATGATATAGTTTGCTTATATGCAAGAGATTTGATAGCATAAGAAGTAGTCTTATAAGATCTATCACATATTTCTGTAATTTCACATTTGGTTTCTGTCAAAGTGTTATATTGATAAATTTCAGGAGAAAAATGTTTGTTATCATTATACAAATATATCACATAGAAAGTATGCAGATTGTAAGTTTCAAAAAAACAAGTAGGACCTTAGGCATAGAGGCAAATCAACAAAATGAAATTTAATAATTCTTCTACACGAAGAAGAATCATGATATGTCTTCAATGGTGTACGTCTGAAAATGAAAAGATAGCTTACCAAAGGAATGAACAAAGTTAGATAAATATATAACTGGATATAAAGTTAATTCTAACCAGCCAAATTAGTAGAATAGATTGAATCTTGAGAAATAATTTCTTTTTGCTGGACTGTAAAGCATTCTGATGAGAGCATAATTTTTCATGTATTATAGAATTAACATAGTTCTTTTCTGAAACTGAACTGAACCAGATATGAAGTTTACTCAACCTTTTGAATCGCTTTTCAGTGTCTTTCGTAATTTACGAAAAGGCAGCCGAGTTGACAAATCTAGCACCAAATGACATTAGGTGTTCCAGGATGGTGAGCATGTCCTGTCTCACTAACGAGATTGTTATATATAAATGATGGATACAATAATACTTCACTCACCTTTTTCTTTAACTTGCTCTGTACTTTCATATCTTTAGTGGTTCGCTCTCCTGGAGCACGAGAAGCCCATAGAGTCCAAATTATCACAGCATATGCAATTGTCATTACAGTACAAGGTAGAAAAAATAACACAACACACACAAGAGTATAATAAGCTTTCCTAGCTGGAATAGCAATATGAGTTTGGTTGGTAGTGCTGTCAAACCATGACACAACCGGCCAATGATCGTCACACCATCGTTCAAGGTGATTTTTCCATTGCACCTCATATAAATCCCTGTACACTAGAAGAGGAGCAGCTACAGCTAACGAACACAGCCATAAAGCTAATATTGTATAGCGTGCACGTCTTTCTATGAAATGGGCTTTCATGGCAAACACTATGCCAAAAAATCTGTCACATGCAATAAAGGTAAGAGTAAAGATACTGGCCACCAGTGAGAGGACTGAAAAAGAAAAAAAAACTATAAAGTTCACGACCTTTAGAATACCTTGACAATCACAAGAGCGCATTTTATCTTCACATGTCACGACAAATAGTTCCAAAACGTAATTTAATATATTATTGAAATATCATAAATCCAAAAATATCCTGTCTAGTAATTTAAATACAGAACTCGATTCAATAATATTATGAACACAAAATACAAAGTCCTTGGAACTTGTTAACGTTTTTATAATTGATATTTTAAAAATTAAAAAGAGATCGGGATATAATTAATTACAACATTAAGTGAAGCTGATATTTTTGTGAGAAAAAAAGTCAATACTATTTGATTACAGCTCAATTTAATAAAATTTTGCATATTTGTGGATAACCTCATTGTAACTATTTTCTGAAAAAATTAAAAGTAAAATCTGCTTTTTCGAATAAAATAATAAAGGATATTGTCTTCATAACTGGATATATGCTTTTTCTATAATGAAAACATCATAAAGTTTATTTAACTTATGGAAAATCTGAATCTAATCCCACAAGAGCCTTGGCATTGCCCTTTTGCCAAAATATTTGTTAACAAGATGGCCATAAGTTAACCTAGTTGTGATGATCTTTTCTTTAATAACCTCGTAGCCCTTAGTAGTCAGTAACCGTTGACATTTTGCTTTAAATAGGCTTCGTCCATATTCTACTGGCTTATTTGAGATTGCCACCGGCAATCGGCTCCCAGAAAACATTTGATTTACAATACAAATTCTTTCATTCATCTGATAGTGCTTTCAGGTGAAGCCTGGTTGTTGAAAGCGACCGGTTAAACCAACTCCCAAACCTGTTTCAACCTTTTTACTCATAATGCACTTGGGTAATGATTTTATTGTGACCTCTGGACTTCCTGAAAACTTCAAAGATAATGCCCAAGGTGGATTAACTCTTTTACACGTCTGAACTCTCGCCAAAAACCAGGATCGACGAACGGTTGATAGTGAGCTGTGTAACGTTAGTCATCTGAACAAAGCATTTTTAATATCAAATCTTCCCTATTCCTGACAGAACTTAGGGTCACCCTATAAAATTTTCACAGCATTTTAAAACCATTTTAATTTTTATTGAAGCATTATTTTTCGAAATCAGATATGTCCATAAACCAACTGTGAATCGTGTCTGATGGACCAAACATAATGTAAATATACTTTCTTCAAATTGAAATAAGTTAAAAGCTTCCCTATTCCTGACAGAACTTAGGGTCTATAAAATTTTCACAGCAGCTTTCAGTTTATTATTGTCAGTATAACACGATTGGCTGTCCACAGTTTGATGGTTAAATAGGAGCAGCGGCGTGGTTTAAAGAGAGAGCCATCAGGCCTGTTACAGATATTATTTGAAGTGACAACTACACCCACTGTTCGCTCAAAATTCATCTCAGACCATCTGCAATCCATTGGTTTCTATGGGCCTCTGGAAGAGTCTCAACCTCAAGAGGCTTTGGTCCTTTCTGCTATGATATATGGTAATCTATGTCCAATAATTTTAAGTTAAGTAGGCCTAAACTTTTAACATTTTAATTTTTATTGAAGCATTATTTTTCGAAATCAGATATGTCCATAAACCAACTGTGAATCGTGTCTGATGGACCAAACATAATGTAAATATACTTTCTTCAAATTGAAATAAGTTGTTTGAAACCTATTAAAGATAATTAAGGAAGCCTGTATTGTCTAGACAAAAGCATCGTTAAATATATTAAGCCACGAGAAATAGATTCTACAGAGAGCGTGGTAGTCACAAATGAATAATCAACTTGCATTGCAGACATGAAAGACTCTTTCTTCTAAAAATTGTTACCACAGTTAAATCTGTATTCGTGTACGAGTTCGATGCCACGGAGAGCAATTACACAATATTAGGAGAATGCTAAATTTGTAATAACCTCCCTCTGAATGAATGCGGACAAAGCAAATGTCACACTGACACTTGCACGAATTCTGTCTGCTCAATGAGTGCCATTGAATAAAGTCGTCGTGAATTACCGTGACCAGTTTGTGAAGGGTGTGGGGTTGCCATGAAGTAAAGAGTGTGAAAAAAATTGCATGCATAACTTTGCGCACTCAGGCAACTTTTTTGTAAAGAAAACGCGTCAACAAAGCGCAAATTTTGCGTCAAATATACCTAACCTCTGCGTGCTTTTAGGTAGTTATGCATGTACAATGCAAAAACAAGCCGCAAACGCTGCTCTTCCCTTCGAAGTACGAAATGGTACGCTTTGCCACAACTTTTGCGCAAATATCGTGCAAGTGTCAGGGAGGCATTATATTTGAAATATGATTATCAATTTAGCTTTAACTTCTATTTGAAAATTGTACACTTTTCTGCTAATTATTAAAGAATAAAACGGCTTATTTTATTTATACAACTCCTACCAGTAGCTTTGTTTACGAAGAAATCTCTGACAGACTTCGTCCTCTACCTCTTAAAATTTCTTCTGGTCATTTTGTTCAGCTCTTCAACACAATACTTAATGCCATTTGTATGCTTTTCAAGTAATTTTTTGACAAGCGTGTCTGGAACTAGGCCTTATTGTCGGGGTGATTGTTTGCTCAAGTACCTTTTAACACTCTTCTTGCTTTCTAGACCAGTTCAAGTGACAGCCTACGAAAAATTGTGTCGCTGAGTCGAATCTTTAAGCACTTAAAAGCTGCGTCAAACGAAACGCAAAAATGTGTGTATATTTTTAACTTTAAAGGGAGAGTTTCGATATTTTAGAGGGCAGATTTGGGCCTTGATAATACGTAAATAGTCAGTTGTACTTGTAATGTACGAAAATCGCATATTTCCTTAAAAAGTTTCCAATAGCTTAATTCCCCTAAACTAGGAATTTCATTTCACTTGCTATATGGCATAGTCTAAAGAAAAAATGAGGATAATTTTGGACACACATAGATTTGAAGGCCAAAGTTTCGACTGTGAGCTGTGAACACTATAATTGATAAGCTTAGCTAAAAGATTCTCGTTTTTGAGACTAAGGAACGATTGGTCAAACGAATGGCAAACTTTTCTCTTAAGGTGTAACTTAGAAATATGTGGCATTTTGTACCAGATTATTTGCTTTTGTGCTTGCTTTAGTGATTATTATTATAAGTTATATATTATAAATAATTATATAATCATTATTATAATGTAATAATACTCCGATCTGATTAATGAGTGTTACAGACAATATACACCTACACAGAAAAACCCATTGGAACCTGTTTGGACAGACTGAATAATCTTACTGAAACGGATTTCAGGGAAGGGAGGGTTTAATTCTTCCAGCCCTAGGATGGAAGATTTGGCTGATGAAGACAAGCAATTATTCAGATTTCCACCTGTTGAGGGGTCTTAGTGGTGGACAATACGTTGGACACAGGGTTTTGATTTATTGTACCACCCGACTAACCTACCCCTCAGCCCTTTACCGATTTATTAATCGGTTAAGTATCAAAAGGCATAAAGTCTAAGGACTGTATCCCTTTAAATAAATATGAGCGCCTCTGTAACACGTTTTCCAAGAAATATTATCTGATCAGCTGAACAGACAAGAATAACCCCTTAACATTTCTCATTGAAACACTCTACAATCATGTAAATCGAATTAAGCCAAGTTGCAAGTAATTTCTCTCTAAATCTGGTAAATTCAATTCAACATTTCCATTTAATTTCACGAAACGAGAACTAATTCTGAATCAGTTGAAAGTCGAAATATTTGGAATGACATTTTCAAGTCAGCTAAATTCGTCGGAATCTCTCTTAAGATGTTGAGCTTCTCAGATTGCTTGAACGGATACGATTATAACAATATCATTTCAACACAATTCTTTGAAGACAGACAGCGATCCGTTATCAAAGAAATTCATAGATTCAATCTTCTCTTCTTATCAAAATATAGATCTGTTAATTAACCAAATGAGTCTTTTCAACCCGAGGACAAAGAAAAGTAGGTTCGTACGCAATTAAAATAACTTCAGTACAGTGGCGGCGCCTGCCTCCCGATACTGGGGGTACAAACAGGGGGTGAACTGACTCAATGGGTGGACAACTTTACTGTCGAGGTTGATGCAGCAACTATGGGGTGTCTGAGAGGGTACTCCCGTTTCCTAAGTAAATTGAATTGATGCATTTTGATACATATTTCTGGGGGAAAATGTGTAAAAATCAAAAATTGTTGGAAGTTTCAATAAATAGCATCATTGTCTGTATTATTTTATTAATGAGAGGTTTTCAGAAACGCTTTAAGAAGTTGTACCAACATCGAAATTCTGTTACAAACACTGTCAAGGGAGTGTTTTAAGGCAAACCCAGAATTAAAATTGAATTGAAATATCAGCTCTGAATAGTACTGAATTTCTAAATCCAAGATATGGGTCTTTGTATATAAAGAAGGGTATGAGTCATTTAAACAAATGGCACGCAATTGAAAATTACAGTAATAATGTGAAATCACATGGTTAAGCTAAGATTATTGGTATAGCGCTCATTACTGCGCTAACGCATTTAATTGTATGACAAATCAAACGATTACCAATTGAAAATATACTTCCAAATCAATAATTACTACTATTGCCGTTAAATACAGATACGAAGCCTAAAGCTCTTTGACTTAAGACATCAAATAGGTCATACAGATGATGTCTGGCAGCATTATAATCACGACATAGAAAAAATAATAAAGTGATATTAATTTGCTCTTTTGTTTTTATCAATTAGCTTTTGGCATATTATTATGAAATTACCACAAGTCACCCACTGCTCTGTCAAGGAATGATAAAGTAATTTAATGTATTACTTTGTTAGTCTGTGCCATGGGCTCTTTAAGATCAATACGGATGCTTTTATCAAATAAAATTTACTGATGAAATTTTGTTTCGGGTCCAGTCGCTTCACTACCAAAATATCTATCAACTGGGTAACAAACTAAAAAGATAGCGACGAAAGATAAGATGCTGTAACTACACGAAGACATTTATGCAG